CCGATCGCCCCGAAACTTGGTATATAAACCATGACACATTAAGCCATCTCAGCGACATACATCATAAATCCGTCCCATCAGCGTCCCAAACTGTACTGTTTGATTTTTTATTTCATGATAAGTTCTTTACTACATGCATCAGATACTAAACATGTTGTGGAAGGATATTTTCCTGTTATTTATGTGAGGGCTAGGATCTCAGCTATGAATACTCACAAACATTGAGTCCACTGAAGGAAAAAGACAGATTTTCAAGAAACTGACCTAAATAAGCATTTTAATGAACATTTAAAAGCTGATGACACTCAGGCCACTGATTGGCAGACCCATCTACAGGTGTACAAGTAAAGATATCCCTGTTACAGGCCATGGAGGTCCATAGGGTTGTGAGACGTTGAGGGTTCCACATTATCTAGATAATCGGCTCACAGATGGCGATAAGGTTGTCAGCCTTAAGCACCGGCCGCCCTTTACCCCCCCCCCCAGGAAGATTCCTGGTACTCGTTTCCGAACCCATGGCCATAATGCGGCTAGAAGGATTAGGTAAATTAAAAAAATCCACCTCATCGGGACTCAAAGCCGTGACCTTCCGGCTTGTAGCATAGTGCCTCAACCAACTACGCTACAACAATAAAGTTTTGTTCCACTTTTCGTACCACTATAACCAATTTGTAGTCACAGGAAAGAAGGCAATTAGTTCTTCCCAGAACGTCTTGTTTTATTTTGTAAAATAAAACTTAAAAATTATTTGAAACCACATTTTCTCTGAATCGGATAATACGCAAAACGTTGCATAGGATTACGTGACATGAATGATGAGTTTCAGTAGTCGCCATGTAGGAAAATTGTTTCATCTTCGCTCACGAGGATAACCTGCTTCAGTACAGTTGGTATGCCTGGTAATGCTCTGCGTTACGGATGATGTACGATGATCTAGGAGAAGAGATGGGAGTTAATGGAAAAGAAAAATTGAGAGCAGTGACGGCGCTAACAAGGAGAGGAGAGCAGATGTGACTACATCAATCGTGGCCCATCTAAGCGTCTGGTATCTCAAGGAAATGAACACACTCAGCGTCTGAATGCAACAGAGACGCGGAAAACACAATACATAAAACATTCCGTATTGAGTTTTGAAGCTGCAGTCTTCCGTTAGAGAAACGTATGCCTGTATGAAGAGCGGCGTTTGTTTCCAACACGTAGAGCGTTTTTCTCTCAATAAATATTATCTTCCAGTCTATGGTTTTAAAACGTAATTAATGTTACATTATTAATTATGCAGAATATTATGTTATACTCTACAGGGTCCAGACCGGTTCTGGGATCCACCCAGCCTCATTTTCACTGGGTGCTGCACGCTATTTTCCCGGAGATAAAGCGGCCGGGGCGTGAAACTCATCATTTACCTCCATCTAGTACCGAGGTCGTGAAGATATGTGCCTACACTCCCCATAAATCTTTATTGCGTGGTGTTTAATTAATTAAGCAGAGGGAAAATTTTACTTGTTTACGTACTGTGAATTACATAAATGAATCGCAAAGCATCTGTAAAGTTTCGGCCACACAGCGCTACGCTATGTTCGCTACGTACGGTACGTACGCTGTGTACACTCTGCGACGCAGCTAACATAAGGAACATAGCGTACGTAGCGTACGGAAGTCTGTGTGGCCAGTCACATTGGCAATAAAGGGAGATATTTCCCTGTTCGTATAGCGAACATAGCGTACGTAGTGCTCTGTGTGGCCGAACCTTAACTGAAAGAAGCAGAAATGATATTTCGTAGTGTCTTCTTTGTTTTCGATTTTACGTGCTTCACTGGCCTTTATTTGCGCATGGGGCGGACACAAGCCGCTATTACGCATGTATTCACATTATGGATATCAGGTTCCGTACTCACAAACGAAATTAATTTGCATTTTTTTTAATATTCAGTACATGGAAACCTCCGAAAAACACTGAAGATCTCTATGAGGTGAGACGTTTGTGGCAAAGTCCATAAAGTACAATTCGAGCTTCATAAAACTCTCGGGTTGCATCTGATTAATAATAATGGAAATTAAATTCCTCACTTATCTTTTAATTTAAAATACTCCACCCAATATTAATTTCCATTGCAGGCGGTCAGTTTCCGAGATGAAGCATGCGGACAGAAAGAGAGATGACTTGCCCAGCATGTGTTCATTACATTCGCAAAAAGGAGACCAAAAGTGGCTGTTTTAACACTACGACTGTAAAATATTTCCCTATATTTTATACTCAGGCCATGCAAATAAGCCCCATAGATCCATTATACATACACATCTCCCTCCAGTTGTTTACGCCCTCCCCTACAGCGCACTTCCGCTAACCCCCTCACCCCAATCGTCTGACCTGTGTGTTCAGAGATTTGCTAGCGACAGCCTTATTAACGACAAGCGCTCTGAGCTAGCAGAAGAAGACCAGAGCCGATCACAATGGCTGTGCGGTCTAAGGCATGAACCGTCTTCACCGGCTCGAACACTGGGGTCGTGGTTTCGAATCCCACTCGAGGCATGCATGTCTGTGCGTTTATTGTGTCTGTGTTGTTCTATGGCTACGTAGTGGCCTTGCGACGGGCAAATCCCCCGTCCAAGGAATCCTATCGACTGTGTATTTTTTTCCTGTGGCGCTACAGCCCCAATTTGGACCTAGGCCTACCTCCATGAAACTCTCCGTTTCACTTCGGTTTACTACATCTTAGACATACGGTAGGACTCCTTGGGCGAGTGATCAGCTCGTCACAAGGCCTCTACCTAGGGATTAACTAGGGTTTCTAATATTACCAGCAATAGTAAGGTCGATGAGGCTAGTGCCTGGATGATAAAATATTTCAGTGAAGCTTCAGCAGTAAAAATATTTTCTTGTGAGGACATAAGCGTAATAAATGATATATGATTAATTTCCAATCCCATCCAAGCACCAAGCAATGAATTAGATGAAACAGAATTTAAAATACCCCCGATCAATGTTGTCGATAAGAGGATTTTTGTTGGGTTTTGGGGCACTTGAGAAGAGAGTAAATACTCTATCTTTGGGGTATTGGGACAACTAACAATAATAACTTGGTTATAGAACACAGAAGATGCCTGATGATGACCTAAATCATAGCTTGAAACATATAGCAAGAAATCCATGCTTATATTAAATAAGTAAGACACATCAACATGCTTTTATCTTCACCCGAAGATATCCTGCTTTATTGTTGTGTCGATAATTATAAATTATAAGATATTATACACACAACAGAATGTAATCTATAAATTTTTATCAGCCTCATTTATTATTTTTTATTTGTTTAAAAATGAGTGTGAATTACAAACGTGTCTTGTTACAAATATTGTAGGGTATGTTGATTATCTACGACATCACATGTGTACGTTCAATGTTGGCAGCACTGCTCACCCCTTACGTTGTCCAATACTTAACTGTAGGTATATTTTGTGTTGCCGGTTAGGTATTGTCACGTGTATGAGCGACTACAGACGGTGTCTGGATTGGTGATTGGATTTATTGAACACTTACAGATGGTAACTACAAGTAACTACAACGCTATCGCTTATTCACACACTCAGCAGTTCCCTAAAACACGTCTTCTTCTCAGTCTGCTGTGTCTTCACAAATCGTTGTCTGGTAACGGCTTCTAACGGCGGACGTTCCCCCTACTCTGGGTTCCCGAACTATTCCCGTGCCTCAGCTAAAAAGCTTCTGACAGCAACAGCTCCTAAGGTTAACCGCAGCAGTCCTCTAGCTAACTTATTCACTCACTAACCAACTATTCTTCATTTCTCTGCACTGCACTGCATTATACTAACTCCCAGGCTGGCTGCCATCTTATACCATCCTCCTACCCTTCTGACTGGCTCCAACTCAACTACTCTAGACTTGTCCTGCCTCTAACGGTACGGACTGCGTGGCTATTTCACTGTACAGCTTCAAAATTGTTGATAAGAAAGGTATATTACTTACTGTTTCTAATACCGGTATTTATTGTTCAAGTGACAAAGTTGGTACAGTTTACCTAGTTTAATACATTTTCGAAAATTCCACCGACAACATCAATGCACTTTGCAACTCGTGTGAGGACACGGCGTGTTTTCTCGTCTGAGTGCACCTTGACGTTCCTTTATGCGGGCGATAACATCCTTAGCTCTGACCCGGAAACCGTTCGGAATAAGACATGTGTACATATACACCTTTTTGCTTAGAATGACCGATACTATGACCTCCGAGAAAGTATCGCGCCATAGCTCAAGCGGTTAGTAGCTGGTTTTCCACCGCGGCGGCCCGGCTTCGATCCCGGGTCTGGTCAAGTGGGATTTGTGGTGGATAAAGTGGCGCTGGGACAGATTTTCTCCGAGTACTTCGGTTTCCCCTGCCAATCTACATCCCACCAATTGCTCCACAATCACCCTCACCTATCATCTGGGGCTAGTACAATAGGCCAGAAGTGGCCGCAGTACAAGGGACTTAGTCCCACCCCACTAGCAATAAAAAAATTACCTCCAAGAATATTGACCTTTCCTCCTGGGACATCCTGTATATTTGTTTTCTGAAGGCGACACGTGTTCCTGCATTCTCTGATTATAATATACTTGATGTCTTTGTCAAATTTTCCGTACAAGAATCACCATAAACATGCTTTCCGTCCCTAAGATAAGACTGATTTCCGTTCGTGTTGAAATGTAATTTAGAAATACTGACAGCGTCATTAATTAAACTAGAAGAAAGGAAAATTCTCCACAGCGTCCAGATGGGCTCTGGGGGCCACAAGGTCTCCCATCCAGTGGGTATCGGAGGGCTGTATTTCCGGGGGTAATGCGGCAGGGGCGTGAAGTAACCACTAATAATGTTGGAGCTATACCTCCACCCCCTAATAATTTAATGGCTTGGTTCTTAATTTTTGTAATTGATTACAGGGATAATTTTACTTTGCAAACAATAACTGCATGTATTCCATGTGTCTTGTATTTGCTTGAATTCGCAGGTACTTGAGGAATATATCAGTGGCTGGCGACCACCAGCCGACCATTGAGTTCAATCAAGATGGACGCTTGAAAGCCACAGAACTGACAATCGTAAACCTCAGACCCGGTCACGGGACAGCAGCTAATAGCCCTGTGTGGGAACAGGTCAGTCTCGGGAGCAACCTTATACACTGCATGATATAATTAAGTAACTAACTCCATGGAGCTAGTCCTTGAGAAGCCGCCAGTCGCTCAGCCCCCACCCCCCAATGGTCCCTATCCTGATCCACATAAATCCAGTCCGTATAAACCCAACCTGTTTCTCCAAGATTCATTTTTAGTCTACTTTCCTCATTTAAAAAAATACAGTAGACTTGTGAGACCATCTTGGTGTCTGTGTCTACATGTGTATCCCCGCAGTCGTTGCTAGGCAACGACTCGGTACACATACTTCCGCTGTAACGAATGCAATGGCAGTAATAGAAGAACTGCTGGACGCGTTGTTTTCTATGTGGTCCTTGTCTTGTCAAAGAGAAGTAAGCGATTAGTTTTTCTTTGAACTTCTTTCCTCCCACCAACGTCCAGTTCTTCCTAGCGGTTCTTTCCTATTGGAGTTTCCCCCCATTCGTGCTACATTCCCTACCCATCTCATCCTCATTGACTTGATCATTCTAATTATACTTGGCGAAGGGTACAAGTTATGAAGCTCCTCATTATGAAGTTTTCTCCAACCTGCTGTCACTTCACCCCCCCCCTTCTGTCTAAATATTCTCCTCAGCACCCTGTTCTCAAACACCCTCAGTCTATGTTCCTCCCGTAATATCAGAGACCAAGCTTCACACCCATACAGAACCACAGCAAGGTTTTTTTTTTCTTGAAATAGCTCCTCAATTATCATCACGAGGCTGAGTGGACCCCGTTCCAGACCCACTGCTTCTCAGAAAAGAATCTGGTAGTGCCGGGAATCGAACCCGAACCTCCGGATCTGTAGCCAGGAACTCTGACCACTAGACCACAGAGGCGGTCAGCAAGGCTAATTAACATTCGAAACTGCATCTCCTGAAGCAGGGATGCCTCAGACAATATAGCGACTAGACTAATCTCTGGGTGACTGACTGAGGTATAGGAGTTCGATTCCCGTCAGAGGTAACACATTCATCTTCTCCACACAACGTCTATATCGGATCTGAAACCCATCAAGTCTCCTATCAAAAGGGTACCGTGGGCTTTCCCCGGTGGATAAAGCGGCCGAGACATTAAGCTGTCCACTTACTTCCATCTAAAGCACAATAGATCACTGAAGGTCGCAGTGCGGGGGCCGGTTTTTATGGCTCATCCCTTACACACATACATACCTCCATCTAGTGCTGAGGTTAAGATTGAGTGAAGCGACACCTCCACTCCCTCGTACGTCTTTATATTGTAACATTTAGGCCCGTTTCTAGGAAACGAATTAGCTGCCGTTTTAGTTTAAGATATGTAAGTTGGGCATGATCTGCCCTGTAAAGCCCGTGCTGACACAGGACTTGTGTATACTGCAAAAGGAAGAATTTTCGATAACTTGTTATATGTGAGAAATATACACTTGACGAAATGCCAAGCGTATTCATAAGAGACAGACCCATCTTCTCGACAGAGCGGATGTTACATAAGGACTATTACCGCAAGGGTTCAGTTGGGGGAAAAAAAAAATTCTGGTCGTGCTCCTCAAGGGTCCTGACACCAAGACGAACTGATTGGCGATAAACCGCCAGTCGTAAAGTAAAGACTTTGAACGGCTTGATTCGCAAATCAGTCACTGCGAATCACTGTCGGTTGAAGAGAAAGCTAGATGAGGAAACAGCCGTAACCCAGTCTTAGCCAGGCATTTATTGTGAGTTATTGTAATTGACTGTGATTACAAGTGATTGTAAAAGAAACTCAATAAATCGAATCGTCCAATCGAAAACCCGTTATTATTAGTCACGCAGCCATAAACACGTAACCGTATCTTGATTCTTAATTAAACAAAGGGAAATGTTTTACATTACATGTAACCATTAATACTTGTAGGACCACATTACAAATCTCCTAAGAAGAAACATCTATTCTGTTGTACTGATGATCAGTTATGTCCTCATCATGCTGTTACGTCATGAAGTTGTAACAATGAATGGTGACTGCTTTGGTCTAATTGATTTTGTTGTTCAAAGGGGCCTACGCCTCTCTAATATAGCTTTGAGAGTAGCTCATGCATTGAGCAAGCAATCTTTAAAAAAAAAAAACTCCGTGATTTTAGTCCTCAAGCGAACTATACCGACCGAGCGACCGCCGCTTGTCGACGAAGTTTAGTACCAATTTTTATGGATAGAGGGTACCGCGTGGTCAGCGCAACGAATCCCCACGACCGTTAATTTCAGCTTTCTAGACCTGAGCCTCTATTTTCTTGAAATAGCTCCTCAGTTATCATCACGAGGAAGAGTGGACCCCGTTCCAGACCCACTACTTTTCAGAAAAGAATATGGTAGCGCTGAGAATCGAACCCAGACCTCTGGATCTGTAACCAAGAACGCTGACCACTAAACCACAGCTTATTCATTAAAAGTCCTGTGTATTTAACGTTATCCGCGACATAGCGAACTTGATTCCCTCTTACACTGACAGTGAAATGCAACCGTGACCACACTACGATATACATCTAATTATCGCATGCAGTACAGCTTTTGTTGAAACATAATTGATTCTTTGTGCAAATACATTTATCAAAGCAATTCCAGTTAATCGAATGCCAACGTTGCTCAATGCTACATTGGCACCATTGTATGTTCTGTTTTCTTTCTTCTTTCTGCCTTCATGACGTCATTCATAGTCACAGTTCATGTGACTGTTGCACGCATCAGCTACCAGTTCTACCGAAAGCCATTATAATTAGCGTGACTAATAATAATGGGTTCTGTATTAGATGAATAGATTTATTGGACACTCGCAAGTTGTAACTATAAATGATTATAACAATCTAAAAAATGCTGTAACTATCACACACAAAATAAAATCTTCAACATCTCCTTGCTAGCCGTTGCTTGGTAACGAATCTTATTTGGTTAATACTTTAACTATGTTATATTTTAGCGTCCTGTTGCACTGATTTATGTCCATGATTTATTCTGACCGTCTTACAGTGCATACATTTATTCACCTACTCTTCTCACTTGCACTACATGTTTCGGCNGTGTGTTATACTGCTGGGCCTGCTGGGTATGTGTGTGTGTGTGTGTGTGTGTGTGTGTGCGCGCGCGCTGTCTTCGTATTGAGATACGACATAAGGGTGACAAATCCTGAACAGTTTTAATATTTTTAATATTTAAAATTTATCAATATATATGACGAATATATATTTTAGTATAAAGACAACAGGGCATGCAATGAAGTAGTTCGACGTACATCGAAAAGCACCTGAAGATGGCACTTTTGTGCTGAAACATGTAGTGCAAGAGAGAAGAGTAAGGTGAATAAATGTATGCACTGTAGGAAGGTCAGAATAAATCATAATACTTTAACTATTGAACTGTCTTCTGAATTCTCTTGAACGAATGAATCTCTGATTGAATTGAATTCACAAATCAAGTCCTTTTTATAACTGCCAGAAAACCTAATAGAGATCACGTCCTCCAAGGCTTCAATTTTTGCCTCAGAAATAATGTGTTAGTTCCCAAGCAACCGTTTAGTTTTGTAAATTTTCACAACTTTCAGTTTTCGTATCCAAGGAAACCGTTTTCCGTAACTAATTGGTTTCCAGAAATCAGTCTCCCCGTGACGTGTTCGTCCATTTGTTTCCTATCAATGGCCCACATGTCACAAAATTAATTTTCAAAGGCTGACGTAAAAATTTGTGTCACTATCCGATTATGACGCGCCCTAAAAGATGTTTTAGACAGAGTGTATTAGAATCTTTTCAACAGTTGTAGGCTTCCCATTAGAAAGAGAACTTAATTTCTCATTTAACCTCCTACTTATGTTTCAGTAATTGAGCCGAATATTATCCCCGCAAGGAACTGAAATCGAATCCAGTTTACAGATGATAAATTGAAAACGCTGTCAGTGCAATTCGTTTATTGGTTGTGTGTCCCTGTATGTAAAGTTTACAGCCGCGGGCTGACTGTCAACACTAGAACGCTCTGGCTGTCGTAGCGGCAAAAGTGGGAACTACATGTTGGTGGTGTTTTCATTCGTGGCGCTTTGTTTTGTTCAAGTCCTGGGGGAAAGTGCTGCAGGGCGTAAGCACTGAAGTGGGCTTGACAACAATCATTTGTGTAGCCTTGATTGTATCGATGTCCCAATGACAGGAAAACATGCTCTTATATATAAATTTCGAAGTACAGGTGATTAAAGTACAATTGAAAAACACACTTTTAATGCAAATAAGAGTTGATATATCAAAATAGCATTTTAAACAAAGATAAAATGTAGGTACACATGCTTTCTAATAGAGAGGGTGCACCGTTATTTCCCCGAAGATACAAAATATGTAGTTCTACCAGATTTTCTGAGAAGTAGTGGTTCTGGAACGGGGTTCACTCAGCCTCGTGAGGATAACTGAGGAGCTATTGCAAGGAAATAGCGGCTCCGGTCTAGAAAATCTAGATTAATGGCTGTGGGGATTCTTTGCGCTGACCACGTGACACACTCTATCCGCAAAAGTTGGCACTAATCTTACCGCCCTTCTCTCCTCCTTGCTTGGTGCTCACACTTTGGGCGCCACCTCTCCCTTACCGCCCTTTTCTCCACCTCCTACCTTTTCCTTCTTCTTTCTCACACGCTGGGTCGCCACTTCTAGTAGGTTCTTCTTTCTTGTTGCTAAATATCGCAGGGTTAATTTAAAAGGAGGGGGTTTTGTTGTTCTGGTAGAGCTGAGTACCTCTTATCTCAGAGCCTTGAACGGGCCACAACTCCGAAAGGAATAAATTAACACCACAAATCACAAGCACATCTCAAGTTTTGGACGAATTATATTGAACACTTGTTAATCACTTTTAATACAGTTTCAATGTCAGTAACCTTTATGTTTAACTGTTTCTGAGCTTACATCTGTTTCTATCACTTCCCGGTTTCCGAATTTACGTCTGATTCCTTCTACTCCCGTTTGCAGACTTTACGTCTATTTCTCACGACCCTTGGTTTCAGAATGT